CCTTAAGATAACTGCCCCTTACAATTTTATTACATTGAGGATAATTTCCTATTCAGAATGTTAGTAAGTACAAAATATGGAATCTTTACTTGGAAGAGAAGACTTTTTTATCTTAATTTTTTCTACAATACTGGGATTTGAACTCAGGGCCTCGTGCTTACTAGGCAGGCCCCTCCAGACACCTCACCCCAAGCCAAGATTAATTTTTATATTCAAAGAATCATGCCACTGCACTTAAGCACATTTGGGAATATTTCTACATGGCAGGACGTGAACTTAAAAGTCCACCCTTTTGGAACTAAAGGAGAGATGGCAGAAGAAAGCAATTATTTTCTGCAGGGGCAATCAGGAACAATGAAAGTTCAAACTTACCTCTCTGCTTTGTCTTTGTTTTCTCCTCTATGGATATTACTGAGCCAGAAATAAGATTGCTTTTGGAAGCCTGAATGAGCCGTGAGCAAACAACTTTATTGCCACCCTCTACTGCCCACAGGTTAGAATCAGCACCAGTCATTGATACTGCCCCTGTCAGCAGGGAGGAAAAAAAAAAACAAACGTGTCTTAATTTTGACTATAAGTGACCCTCTATCCTCTCTTCCCTCCCAATTAGATGTTCAATGCTCAAATGTCTCCAAACACTGCCAAGTGAGCCAGTGGAAGGTCAGGAGCCTCTCCCCCTAAAAATGCACATCTAGAAATACACAATGCTGCTAACAAGGTCTGAGAGTCTGAGAAAGGCAGCCTTCTCCAACCCATGGCCTAAAGTCAGAAGCCACTATAGTATCAGCCTAGTCCCTGTGTGAATGAATGTCCATTGGTTTTCCAAGCCCTGGCTTACCCACAAAGGCATTGAGGTCTGTGCTTTGGCCAAAATTGACCCTCATGATAGGAGCAATCATTTCATTGAGGAATTTCTCAGAGAAACCTGCTTTCTGCAAGTTTTCATGAAGCGTTTGGTTAAGCAGTGCAATGTAGTCATCCCCTCCTACAGCATGTAGTAATTTTTCTACACTACTGAAGGCGTAGTCATGAGATTGGTAGCGGTAGATCCTTTAAAAAGAAGAGAAATGGCCATTAAATACCAAACAAGATGAGGAGAAGGAGATGTGTAAAGAGGGGAAATAGCATGATAAGAATCAAACCGACACAGGGCACAGTAGTGCATACCTATAACCCCAGCACTTGGGAGACTAAATCAGGAGGATCCCAAGTTCCAGGTCAACCTGGGCTATACAGCAAGACCTTGTCTCCAAAAAAAAAATCAACAAACAAATCAAAGTGGTTTTCATGTTTCCTTCTGATACATTTCAACCCATCCTGTGAGACCCAGCTCAATCACCACCTTCCAGTTCTCTCAGAAGCTATTGGCCTCCCTCCTCCTCTCCCTCCCCCTTGAAGTCCACTGTCCTCTGTAGGCACCCTTCCTTTCCTGCATTAGTACAGTTATGGAGAATGCCTTCAAAGAAATTGGTATGTCTTATTCTCATTCTTTTTTTGTTTTTGTTTTTTGTTTTTTATGGGACTGGAATTTGAACTCAGGGCTTTGTCCTTGCAAAGCAGGTACTCTACTGCTTGAGCACACCTCTAGTCCATTTTGTTCTAGTTATTTTAGAGATGGGGTCTCATAAGCTATTTCCTCAAGCTGGCCTGAACCTCGATCCTCCCAATCTCAGCCTCCCAAGTAGTTAGGATTATAGGCGTGAGCCTATATTTTATATCTTCCAGCAACACTAAGACATACCTAAAATTAAAACTTATCTTTCCACTAGGCTTACCCCATCCTAAACATAAAAATAATTGGTCATTCCAAATATCATACATGTCACCCTCAGTTCAATTAGTACCAAAGCTTAAACATTTTTCAATTCTTTTGCTTCTTCCACCCAAGCAGGAAAACTTACCAATCCTCCAACATCTCTCTTGTTACTCCATTCTCATTTACTTGATCTTAAGTCAGGATTTATATCCAAATTAGTAAAATGAATTATTGATCTACCTGCTTCTTGTCTCTTTTCTTTGAAATATTTATGACTCTCCCAAAAGCCCTAAAATACCTCTTACATTTTTAAATCTATTTATCCAAAACTAGTCTTCCCTATAAATAAAGTCTAGATTATTTAGCCTGAGGGTTGAACTCAGGGCCTTGCAACTTGCTAGGCAGGAGCTATACCACTTGAGCCTTGCCCCAGTCCTTTCTTCTCTGGTTATGTTTGAGATAGGGTCTCATTTTATACCCAGACCTGCCAAAACAACAGTCCTATTTATGCTTCCTGCATAGCTGGGATGACAGCTGTGTACCACCACTCCCAAACACTGGTTGAGATGGGATCTCATGAACTTTTTGCCTTCCAAGTAGCTGGGATTACAGACATGAGCCATCATGCCGGGCCCCGGTCTCCACGTTTTCTACAAAACAGTTGCCCAACAGTCTTAAAAATAAGACTTCCAGTTAGGTAGAGAACTGCTCCTAGAAACTATAATTCCTAAACTTCAACAGACTAAAGTATAAGGAAATAACCAAAAATTAGGTTAGGTTAGGTTAGGTTAAATGGAAGGAAAAAAAATTACCTCATGAACTTGTCTAATATATCCTCCACCCACATGTGCATTCGGAGGGACTGGAAGCCGTAGCGCCAAACTAGTTTAATCATGTTGATTATAAACCAGCTACTCTCCTCAAATACCAGAGTCTCTCCATTGTACACCCCCACTAGGCCTCCCGAAGTTGGGACAGCAGAGAGACCTGCAAAAACAAAAAAAGGATAGCTAAGTCAGTGGTTTCCATTCTGATCAAACAAAAAGGCGATCTGGAGGACCTGTGGGGTCCCTGAAGTGAATGTATGTGGGGCTTTCCCCAGGTCCCAGAGACACAGTGAAGGAGCTCTATCTTTAGAACATTCATTGCACTATCCAGAAGCAGGTGCTCTACATGGGTCAGATCATGTAAATGTATCAATTTAGACTGGCTATTCTTAGTCACAAAGAAAATGGAAGCATCCACAGGCAGTAGGGAAGGCAAATGAGGGACAAGAGGCACTCGCATTCCTATTTGACTCTTTACAAAACTAGGTATTTCAGGTGAGTGGAAAGAGGCCAAAATGATACAATATGCTCTCTGTAGGAAAGGGCCTGCACAGGCCTGCCAGCCTTCCTCCACAACCTGCCCAGCTCCTCTGCTGGCAGGGTAGCAATCAGATGTCCCCAGTGCTAAGCACATGTTGGTAGCCATAGCTGTATGGATGACTTTAAGCCATCTGCTCCAAGCCTCCAGGTCTCATTTCCTCAGCTGTAAAATGAGCACTCTAAGGTATCAACTAGTGCAAAACATTCTCTGATTCTTCAACAGAAACCCAGAGGTTGAAGAATGGGCAACAGCACCCATCCTCACCCCCTCCCTATGGCTGTAATTGCAGACAACTGAAGATACAGATAACTAGTGTCCCATTACTGGAGAAAGACTCCTAAGACAGTCCCAACTGCTAACCCAGCAGTGAGGGCAACAGTTTCGCTAACTTCTCAGTAAAAGACAACAAGGCAGAAAAGTTTCAGTTCTCCATATGGAAAAACTATCCAGGAATGGGTCACGCAGAAATTACATACCCAGGTCTTTGACAAAGCGCTTCATGTGCAGATTTAAAGGGTGGATGACAGAACCTCCGGCCTCATAGTCCTGCCCCTGCACAGCCAAGGTGGCCAAACGGCCCCCCACCTCTCCTCTTTCAAGCAGATCAATCTTCACATCTTTTCCAAATTTTTGACGAAGATAATAGGCTGCTGAAGTACCACCAATCCCAGCTCCAATAATTCCTATGAGGGGGGAAAAAGGAACCTTTTTTTTTTTTTTCTGAACAGTGTGGGTTTTGTTTTTGAAAGACCATGAACTAATAACGGAGGTTACTCAAGACTATTGCCAACAATTTAGGGAAACCCTGGGAGGGGAGGCGTGTTTCTGCTGTGAAGACAGAACTCCCTGAATCTGAACAGAGGGAACTCCCAGTCAAAAGCAGTGGTAGATTCAGTTACAAACTGACATTAATTCGAATTTCCCCCCCAAATACCCAGAGTCTCCAAGGTCTTTGTGGAGGCACCAAGGGTGCCTACACACCCTTCTTGGTGTCCAACCCTAAGGAAGAGAAGAGGTGGACCGTTCCAGTACGCATTTTAAATAAAGTGGCCGCCATTTTCGCCTAGCTTCTTTGTCTCAGTGTGGACTCAATGTGGAGTTAATGATCCCAAAGAACACAGCTTTGGCTGGGGGTTGGGGGGTAGAGGAGAGCCAGGAAGCAAAAACCCAGGGCGACTGAAAGAGAGGCGATTCTTAGGTAGCTGCAGCAGTCCTGGGTAGAGAAAATGCACGCCAGGGGCCAGTGCGAACCGGCGACCTCAGCACGGCGGAGATGGGGACAGCGGTCCCAGCCTATCAGGGGGTGCAGGCAGGGTCAGACTGTTTGCACTGCTCCCTGGGCTGTGTCTGCGTGCACCCGTCAGCGGTGGGCTAGAGCAGCAAAGTGCTCCAAGGCCAGCCGGGACAGTGGCCTCGCAAAAGAGGCAGCCAAAGCAAGACAGCGCGAAGAACCTGTCCCTGAGGCCTGGAACTGCGCACACACTTGATGCCCATCCCTGCCCATGCTTCAAGTGGGCATCTGTCCACGCCGGGGAAAGCACGATCCCATCCTTAAGGAGATCGAATGCCGCCCTGAAGTGTGGCCAGGGAAAAAAGCAACTTGAGCAGCAGGCCCTGCCCGGGCGTCCCGGCTGCGGGACCTGGGCGCACTCTCTCGGCTCCAGCGCCCTCCCGCGCTGCCCTCTTCGGCCTACCGATCTTCTCCGGCGGGGCCCGCAGTTCTGCGCTCGCGAGGCATCCCCAACTGCACAGCAGCAGTCCCAGCCCCAGCAGCGACCACACGAGCTCCGAGGCGACGCGCCCCATGGCCTCCCCGAGCGCTGCAGACCGACTGCCTCTACCTCCTCGCAGTCCTCACGCAGTCGCGCGTCAGCACGCGCAATCGCCCCGCCCCCAGGCCGCCCGCTCCACCCAGGCCCCGCCCAGGTACGTCTCGCCCCGCCCCCTGCCCCAGCTCTTGGAATCTCAGGTGCACTCCTCTCTCCAGCTGCTCCCCACCCTGGGCCGCTTGGTCCTCAAGGCCCCTCGGAAATCCACTCTCCAGAAGGCATCCAAGGCGCAGGTTGAGGCTCACCTCAGTTCTCCCTTCCCTTCTCTCTTCTCCACTAGTGCCCTCTTCTGTCCCCTCAGTCGCACGTCGCAGGAATGCACCCAGCCCATCGTTGCCAGAAGCAGGCCAATGGAGCAACAAATACTTGTGGAGTGATGACTTTGTTCCATAGCCTCTTGGGCAGGAGATGAATGGGTAAATGGCGCTAGGTGAAGGGAGTGGAATACAGGGCCAAACACGAATAAAAGTAGTATCTATAGGAGAGTAAAACGCGCTATCCCAATATGCATGAGGATTATTTGGAGCTGTATTACTTTTTTTTTTTTTTTTGTGGTACTAGGGTTTGAACTCAGGGCCTCACATTTGCTAGGCAAGTGCTCTACCACTTGAGCCAAGTCCCCAGCCCTGTAGACAACTTTAGACCTTTTGAATAAAATTTATAGGGAATCCCTCAAAAAAAAAAAAAAAGTCACTCATTCTGAAATTACTTGCTACCAAGCTGAAACTAAGTTATCTGACTGACCTTCAAAGAAATTCTGGAAGAGATAATAGCCCAATCCCCAAGACAGCTGTAGCAGACAAGATAAGGAGCACAGGAGACTCTGCTTTAAACTTTCTTAAGAAAGTAACTTTGAAACCACTAGTGTCCTTTTTGTTCTGTGTCTGTTTTTCTCAGCCCTTTTGTCTATAAAGCCAACCTCCTCTGCACGGCTCATTGGGACATTCTATTTTGTAGAATGCGGTCTTTCCTGATTCTAGAACCACAAGTAAAAACCAACTGAGATCTTTAACTGTCTTGTAATTTTGTCTTTTAACAAACCTTTATCACCCAGGACCAAATGAATCCACACGATTGGTTAAGCCTTCCTCAAGCAATTTTTTGCCTTTCCAAAATTTTCCACCCCTAGAGTCTCAAAATTGACCATTCTTTGTTGAAGATGCTAGTTAAGCCTGAATTCAAAACCACTCCTTGGAGATTTACTCATCTTCCTGGATATCCTCCATGTCTACATGTGGTAAACATTACCAAACTTTTACTTTTCTCCCTTTATTTTTTTTTGTTGTTGGTGATACTTGGATTTGAACTCAGGGTCTCACACTTGCTAGGCAGGCACTCTACCACTTGAGCCACTCCACTGGCCCTGTATTTTTAACTTTGTATTTCTCAAATTCATTTTGCCCACATCACTTCAATGCATTAAATACAATAGGCCCTCAAAAACTATCTGTTGATTCAAACTGGTGATGTTAGTGATCTTGAGCCCAGTGTCATATTTGGAAAATTGCTTCTGATATTGCAAGTTTGTGAAAGAATTTCCAGAGCAGGTACCTCAATGAAATAAACAGCTCAGGTTTATAAACTGGGAGAAAACTTTCTCATTGTGCACCCTCCCCTTTAATAGTGCCAGTGAAACTCAAAAGGTTTAAAAAATCATGGGGGAAAATGTTACTGTTAGACTGAAAAAAGGTACAGAAGGATACATGGGAGATAGAGATGCTAGACTGAAGGCAGCATGGAGAGATAGGCAAAATGATTCAATGTCAGCACAGGTTTTGTTCAGAAGGAAACTGTGGAGGGGGCCTCCTGCAGACACTGGAGCCCACAGCTGGATGTGGGTGGAGAAGTCTAAGGAAGGTCCCTGGGTATGAAAATCCTCAATCAGCCCTCTGATAATGGCTTACAGGTGGGTGTTTCTTGTTCTTCCAAGCCAGATGAGGAATTTCTAGTAAAAGACTAAAGGCAGATGCTTGTTATTCTTTAGGGCTGGGTAGAGTGTTCACAGTAAACTACCTGCAAGAGGGAGGGGGTCTGCTCTGAACATGATTGCCCTGTGTTCATCCTAACAGTCACCACATATTTGAAATATAATTTTTGTTATTGTTGACACAGGGTCTCCTTGTTGACAGCAAAATGGTGTTTTCAGAAGACCTTAGTCCTTTTGTTTCTGTGTGAATGTAAATGGGGTTTATTCAAAGTTAGAAAGGAAATAGAAAGGGAGCATGGTAAGGGCAGGTAGAGTCCACCAGCAAAGAGATTGTGCTTTACTTTTTCAGATGCTTTTAAAAACTACATTAACCCACAGGGAGGGCAGATCCAGGAAATTCTCACCCAATAAAGAACTAGTGGGGGAGGGGCATGGATGGTCCCCAACCACATATCTAGGCCATCCCCAGCAGCCCATCATGAGCCCCAAACTTTTCCTACTCTAGCCTGCCTCAAATTTCCCCCAAGAGACAATATTCCAAAAAATTTTTTGGAGTTGTTGAAGGGGGAGAGGTCCATCTTTAGTATCTGCTTCAAGCTGACAAGGGGCAGCAGACCCTACCTACAAGGGGAAATTGTCTCTCCTATTTCTTTCCCTTGGGGCTCATTTGGACAAGATGTCTGAATTATTGTCCAGCATAGTCAAGGTTCCTCATGGAGGTCTCATTCATTTATAGATTGGTAGCCTTGTTGCCTTATGATTTGTGTCCTAAAGGGTTTCATTCTGGAGAAATAAATCTGGTTTAGAAGGCATGACCTGACCTTAACAATGATAGGAGCATCAGATGGGGCCCTTCCAGGTGTGGCAGGAAGGATAGAGAATTTAACTTTTCATTTTGAAAAGTGACAGAGTCTTATGGTTATTTTGCCTATACGTGTTTATATCTGTAGTTATGTTTATCTCTTAGATGGCCCTCTATTTTGGACTGTCACTATAGTGGGCAGTTAAGGGCTGACTACACTAGGGGCCAGATGTACCAGGGGGCAGTAAATTAGAGAGTAAACATCAATGGGTCAGTTTTGTTCAGAAAGAAAACGCACAGTGTCCCTAAGCAAAGGTTAGATACCATCGAAAGTTATATTGCTTTTGCTTAAACAGAAGGCCTTGGCCAAAGACATGAGTTTGCCTTTGCTTTGGCAAATACTTATTTAATATTTAATATAAATATGAATTTAATATAATTTGTAATATAAAATAAATTTAATATATTTATAATATAAATATGAATCTTTAAGCCTAGAAGGCTTAAAGATTAGAGCACACATGTAAGAGCTTCCCCCTCCCCACCTTTTATAAAAATCTCTTGACTTTGGTTACTTTTAGAGGTCTGACATAGTTGGCATCTGGATCTGGAGCAGTCCCCTCATTTGTGCAATCCTTTTGAACCGTCTCAGGTGGCTGATTGCCACTTGTTCCTCTAAGAAGTTGGGGGATGCAGACTGCTCAGGGGTCGCATCCTCTTAAACTGTTTCTCTGAACAGTCATCTCTGAAGATTTTGCCAATTTCTCAGTTTTGTCCCTCAGTGAGGGAGTGGCTTCTCCCAGAAAATCCAGAAATTCTTTTTGTCCTACGGAGGAGGGGAAGTGAGCAGATCAGAAGTCAGTGCCAATGTGATCTTTTTGGCGAAATTAAGCAACAACGAGATTTAAAAATGGCTCTTAGACTGGGCTTAATTAAATCTAATTGTCTGTCCCATAGGGAATGTACTGACACATTTAAATTGCCGTAAAGTGTCAGCAGACAACAGTTATAAAGGTTTGTAAGGAAAATACAAATCAACCCCAATACTTAAGAATGTCTGTCCTGGTTGACAGATAAACACTTGTCAGAGTCATTTTCCATGGACTTGCCTGTAAATATCCCAATAGGATTAGAACTGCAATGACTAACCATGGTTAATAGTTTAGCAATTAATATAATAATATAGTACTACTAAACGTCTCATTACAATTGGGAACATAAGCACAAACTTGTAAAAGAAGCTAAGATACCAACTTGGTACAGTGTCTTTTTATAACTATTTTAGAAGGCTTATATTCTTGAAGACAAAGACATATTGTTAGGGTACCTTCGAGGCTTGCAGCCCACTCAACCGGCCATGACTAACATGACCCAAGTCACCACTTACTGGAATAAAGGGAGGTGGGACGGTTTCTGGGAACAGGGACTGTTTCTGGTTAATCTTACTAGAATGGTATGTGAGTCAATGAGTTAAGACACCTGGTATTTATCAAGTTCCTGATAAATAATCTTCAAGTAATCTTGTCCCACCACCAGGATGTGGATGATATCAGAAATATGTGACCCCAGGGGCCATAAAAATTGCTGTGTGACCATGACTAATGTCTAAAAAAATATAAAAGCAGCCTGAGCTTTGCATTCGGGGTCCTCGATGAAACCCACTGCTTCGGGCGGATACCCAGACCCCAGCTAGCTGGAAATATAAACCTCACTTTGTGGCTTACATTATTGTGAGTGTCTTTTGTTCCTCTGAGGGGTGGTCAACCTCGGACCCCAACAATATAACATGTAAAGGAGCCAGTAGCAGCAACAGTTTAAACCTTAAATTTTGGTTAGATAAAGTAACAAGTTAGTGTAACAATTAAAAACCCTAAATTTTCCAATGCTTAAGAGAAGGCATTCTCTTAAGTGAATGTCAGTAATTTAAAATAGCCCCTGTTTTAATGCTCAATTGCATATTATATATATAAAACAATGTTTACTACAATGTTTAATAAAGGCTACCTTTTTAACAAAGAAATCATTTGTAAAGTTAGAGAGGGGCATTCAGAGGGCATTTCAGGCCAATAACAGTGCCATACGGGACAACTAGTGTTAATATTTGGAGGAAAAAATTTATGCTGAGACCAAAGGTATAGAAAATTCTAAATGAGAAGTTTAGAGACCACAGTAATGTCCATTTTGTTATTTCTGGAACTATAACCTTGAGCTAACAATTGGCTTACAAGGGCTGGGTCTGATGCCCTGAGGTGTGAGGTGGGGCTAGGAGCAGGACTTGTGCAAGGCGCCACTCCCTC